CGCCCAGCGCACGCAATCAGTCGACCTCTATCTTGGCAGTAAAGCGACCTTCGCTGTTTTGTGTCTGCTGCAGAGTAGATGTAGAATTACTCATCGCGTTTAATGTTCCACGTCAGGTTTTGATTCGCTAACAATTTGTATTTCGTAACAAATGAGCGATGCAATCATGCAAGTTTAGGAATGGTTTTAAAGATAAAATTGAGAATATGGCTCTTTTTCATAAGTTATTTAAAACTACCTCAAAATTTTCAAAAATATTTAGTGCAAAAGGATAGGGTTTTTTTTTTTTCCAAGAAATATTACAGAAGCATATACTGTTGTATGGAAAATAAACATCTCAAATATTTTATTGGGAAAAGCAGGCAGGTTTTCTATTGTGCTATTTGGGTAGGGAGAGATGAAAGAGAACTACTTTCAAAGAAACAAATCGCAGAAGAGCTGTGATAAGTTGAATTTACCTTTAAATTCAAACCAAATCTCTTTGGCAGAGTCGAGAGAATGTATCATTAAGTGCATGACACTAACAGATCATCTCAACAAGGCGATACCACGGTATATCTTATCAAACGGTTATATAAATGTCATAGTAATGTGAACGATCACATGTAGTCCAAACGCTCGTATCCAAAATGAACAAGTATGTCTGCTGAAATTTTAATAATCATTTTGCGTTCTTGTAAGTTACAAAAATTAACATTTAAGATTTTAATGATGAGATGGTACTCCCTTCAGATATGCATTTCTTTACCTTATTAACAATTTATTTGATTAAACTGAAATTAAAATAGTATTTTTTTTCACCGCTTTTAACAGATACATAGCACGTTACATCGTGCTTCAAACAGGAGCACGGTAGGTAACAAATGTACTGTCACGACTCCCCCTTACCGGGTGGGGACACTGAGGCACAGAGGTGAAATGACTCGCCCAAGGTCAGGCGGCAGGTCTGCGGTGGGACGGGGCTTAGAAACCTGCTGCCCTGACTCGCAGAGCTGTGTTCTGGGATATGCCAGGTGTAGCGATGCCGAACTGCACTGCCTCCGGGTGGAAAGGAATGAGTTTCTTAAGGGCAATAACTGAGAGTCTAGATTTTCTTTCCTTGAGAAGAAGACAGGAATGGGGAACAGCCACGGAAGAGAAATAATCGCGTGGAAAGAAAGTAAAATGTGTTTTCAGCAGCTTTTTATTGTGTTGTCTAACTGCAAAGTTCCTAAGTGTTCAAAAGTTTCTACCCCTTAGCAGGGGTGTGGGTGTTTTAAAATGGAAAGTTAGGCTACTATCCCATTTTAGCTGGTTGATTTAATCAAACTGATGAAAATGGAACATATTAGATACTTAATTAAGCCTTTACCATGTAGTCCATTAATTCAGAAGGCTAAAAATCCATCCCCTCCCAGTACCGCGCCTCCTGTAGCACAATACGTCAAGAGTCCCTCGCGACGCAGAAAGATAGAATACACCTTGGTTTCGCTTTGCTCCTTGTTCGGTTGGGGGAGGGGCGCGTGCTGTTTCTGTAGAGTTTGTATATCTTTGCTCGTGTTATTCAGTGATGTTCGGAAATCAGAGCGTTACACAAACCACTGCTTATTTAAACTGGAATAAAACGGAAACGCCGCGGAGGTGAACTTTCCTAACCCAATTCGAGAAGCCAGTCGAACAGGCTTGGTGTCATCTCTCTGCCTTCCTCGCTGAGCTTGCAGTACTGCACCACGGCATGGAAGATATCCCCCACTTTCCAGGACTTCCGTTGAACCAATTGCACGACGTCTAAAAACTGAATAAAAAACCAAAACAAAACACGCTTAGGATTTGCTTAACGTTTTGCTACGGTTTTGTTAAATGAACACAGGCAAACCGCTGTAAGACCAGCCTTTGCAAACGCTCTGCCGTCGGAGGGAGCGGACGCGGTTCACCCCGCAGCGACATAAAGGTTCTTTCCATTTATAAAACTTCTTTTCTGAAGTTCCGCAGCTGCCCAAAGACCGGTCGCATCTCGTGACGTTTTCTAAATTAGCTGCCCTCGTCAATTATTTCCTATTTATCGCAAGGAAAGTAAGAACAGTGAAAGTGACCTTGACGAAGGATCACAACTCTCCTTGTTATCGACGACTCGCTGTCAAAGTAATGGAAGTGTGACTATCCGTTCTAAAGAAAAAAGAAAAAATCCCTCTGCGTTACCATTAGCTACATTTTAATTTATATTTAATTTTCTGTCTTTCCGCATATAGATCCCACAGTATTTTAAACATCCACACAGTACTGGTGAGAGGGAGTTCTGGGTAAAGTTCTGTCACACGAAGACGTTTGCCACAATTGTGGTTGAGTCACAGGGAGGATCTATATTTGACTTTTTTTTTTTTTAACTTCCAGATAAACCAGAGGTTAAATATATGTTCTTAAGCAGCTGTAAAAAATCCTGAATTTTGTCCACTTTGTACTTAATAATGGGCTTCACAGTGTCATACATCTGGTCCCTTTTTTTTCTGAAGCACATAAATGAAAATCAAAGCTTTTCATGTCTTTGAATTTCACAATCAATATCTAATTAGCTTGCTCCTTCTACGTTTCCAGTTTTAAACCACACAAGAAAATATTGTGTGTGTCTAGTTAGTGTAGCTGTTTGCTATTTACATACTGAAGCCTAAACTTTTAATATGTATTTTAATGATATTTAATAGGCTCGCGATTTCCAAGAGCACTGTTGTAGGCAGGATGTGCTTCATTATTCTCTAGTGTATTTTTGCAATTGAATTAACTGTTTGCCAAAGCACATGGGTAAAGCTGACAGCTGTTTCTTTAATTAGACGCAATTTGGACTGTTGCTGCTGAATGCATTTTAAATTATGTTTATGATTCCCGAATGCATGTACTCAAGAAAATCAAACAATATCTCTGCTTCTCAGAATGATCTTCCCATAGACGTTATTTTAAAAGACCAAAATACTGATTTGTAACACTTTTTTCATTAATTGATTGGAATACCGCGACGCCTCTTGTAAGCCTTAAGGTTTGGGCCGTTCTTGCTGACCTTGGGAAAGGGGCAGTTTTGGTTATCCCTGAAATGTTGTAGGGGGCACTCGGTGGTGCCTACAACGGAGCGCTACCTCATCATCCAGGAATAGAAACGGTCTGCGCTGCTTGTGGCCGTTTTGGACTTCAGTGTTGCTCTGGGGGCTCTGGCTTGGACTAGTAACACCTCGGGAGGTTTCTCAGTTCCGTCAGTCTCTGTCTGTCCGCCTCCCTCTGCAAACGGACTTCCGCTTTCAAAATGGTGGTTGGCAGAGGCTAAGCTGCACCTGAGCAGGAGCAAGAGAGCACTGGCGCACGTAGCACTTTTTAATTGCTAAGCCAGGGGAGGTGCTTCATAATTTCCCCTACAACGATGCAAAGTACTTCAGTCCAATTTTCCAAGTAACAGATGTGTGATTGCAAACATGGCTCCGCCGGACACACTGGTTGGTCACTGCCTGGGCTAAAACTGTCTCTCAGGGTGGTAATAATACAAGGATATGCCTACACAGGTAGGTCTATCCCGCCTATCCTCCAAAGTTTCGATCAGCTCTGGTGCAGAAGCCTCGGAGTCTTGGTGTGCGAGACACCAAACCTGAGCTAATGTAGGTTATCTTTATTTTGCAGTTAGTCTCTTCCGTACATTTGAGCTGTGAGCCCGTTCCCTGGTGAGCAGCAATCTTTTTCTGCCAGCACAAAGTGACTATAAAGCCAGCGCATCTGGCCATGGTAGATCTCACATAAATGTAGGAGGAACTGTCAGGCCCCTGTGGTACCCTGCTGAATCCCCAGCTGTAGGATTTATGAACAGCCACGCACAAGTTCAGACCTGCCTGGGGCTGTCTGTCAATCAGCGTTGCAGGCGAGGCAGAACCTGCGTAAGGACTGAGGAATTTCAGAGCTGAAAATCTGAAGCACAACTTACGTCTCGCGTCATAGTCAGCTCTTACTGTCACCGAGTGGCAGAACTTTGTATGTGTGATGTCTGCACTCGAGTGATTTTTATTTTTATTTTTTAAGCTACGTGTTTAAACTCCATGTAAGCCACCTGCAACCCTTCAAACGCAGCCACATAGAGGACTCTTTCTGTTAATTCCGCCTTAGGCATTGATACTTAATGCATCATTGATATGAAAAAGTGAACAGATTCATCGAAGCGTGTTGTAGAGGCTTTGGAGAAGGTCTCGCGGTGATACTATTTTTTGTGCCATGGCCATACTACTAAACATCTTCTTTCACATACCTTAAATTCTGACACACTTAATCCTCTCCTCCCTTCCTGTAATAAATGGAAGCATTGCCATCTTCTTGTAACGAAGATGCGTTTGCATCAGCTTTTAAGCTCAGCAACTTCAATGAATCGTAGCTGGTACTGCGATTACTGTGAATTAATAGTATGCCCAATTCTGTAAATACTACCTTTTCAATTCTGTTTTCCTGAGATTTCTTAAAATAGATGGTTGGAATTCCGAGTTCAGAAGCGGCTATCCACTGCAGGGTGGCTCGCAGCTCCACATCGGGGCACTCTGGTTCCAGATCAAAGTTTATCACCAGTAGGTCCTTTTGACAATTGGCTGTTCCCACTGAAAGCCCAGAAGTACTTTCTGGAAGAATAATCCCAACAGTTACTGTGCAATTACTTGTGTTAACTTCAAATTGCATGCTTGAATTGATACGGTTCAACTTACCCTCTGTATTTTCTGTCTGTTCTTTAAGGAAAACCTTTTCTTCTACTAATTCACTTAGAAACAAACAACAACAAAGCTTATTAGTGATACTTAGGAACAGTCTACAACATTGCTTCATGATGGATAAACTTCTCCCTCAACGTAAGACCTAGAAAACTGCAAGAAAGAAGTTACATGGGATGAAATAATAAAATGCGGAATATATTTCAATTATTTCATGTGTAAATCGGGGAAAAGCTATGGGAATTGCAGCACTGTTCCCGTAATAGGATGAAGCACTTGCACTGGTTGCGCTATGCGTTACATTTCACCAGGACCTGTGTATCTTTACAGTTTACGTAATGACGAGCAAAGGACATTATGGTAAGACACAGCAAGTCTCATAACCTGGGGGGAAATACTGAACTTCCAAAGTCTGCATTTTGCAGTGCTATACTCCCTGGCTGAATCTTTTCCAGTCTTGCTTTCTAGTTTAATCTGTCATAGTTAAATACAAACATAACTAGCAATGACTTCAACTACTGCTGGTTTTAAATATATTAGCTGTTTGGATAAACAAATTCCGTTTACACCTTGCAAAAATTTCCACAGATCTTCATTTCTTGTGTACCATCTCTTTCTTGTTAAACTACGGGAAACAAACTCCTGGCATGTGGTCACTGCTTCGGCTTCCGTTTCTGAACACAATATCCATGCTCGTGTACACGTGGCAGGAACTGCAAATTCACTACTGATGTCGCAGTTACTGCGTTCGTTTCATCGCCCCTGGAGGGACAGCACTTACAGTACGCACTTCCAGACCGTCCCGTTCTGCCCTCGATCAGGGGGAGCGCTGCAAGTGTAAGATTTTGTTTCTAGCATGGGAGGACGCTACTCTTCCCACCCTCATTCACAGGATTTCAGAATCTCCCCCAAGGCTTCAAAGAATCAAGATTATATATACTCGTGCAGCGGTTACTGCAAGATGTGAGAGGAAAGAATAAAATGGCAGCATGCAACGTGTGGTTTGTCATGACTTGGAATCACAGGTGCTTAATAACTTCCTTCCCATCAGATTTTTCCCCAGTTTTCTGTTTGAACAGCAGATGTATTCTGGGCCTCGACTTTGATTTGTGGAACTACAACCTTCTCACGCCCATTGGCTAACACCTGAGAACAGCCCCTGCAAGCTAACGAGGGGAGTCAGAAATTTATCCCTTTGGGCCTCGGAAATGTAAGGGAGAGGGCTCGTCTTTAGGGATGTGTGTAGGAGGTATCGCTGCCTGCTGTGGAGACGGAAATGTTTTAACAAGGTTAGGTTCCGAATCGGCAGCTGAGAGAGAATGCATGTAAGTCTACAGAAAGATGAATGCCCAGATTTCTTACAAAAAAAGAGCAGGACAGTTGTAGTATAGTCTGGTAACGAGCTGTGAAGATTTTCTGATGTCAGCGACTTCACAACGTTCCCGTGTTCAATGCGTGATGTACAGTCCCTACGCTTCTGCAGCGGCCATGCCCTGACTGCGTCGTGACGTTCACCGGCTGGCAGGTTATGCCAGGTTTCAGGGTACCAGAATCTTTAGGCAAAAAATCCTGATAATTTTATTGCATGCTCAGTAGAAACATGCCCAGAAAGAATAGGTAAGATGTACTTTGGGCCAAATTATTATTATTCTTGGAAAGAATGCTGTCATATTTTTTTCCCTTTGACTTTAATTGATCCTTATCTGCCTGGCCTTACTTGCTATTCCTGTAAAGTTTTGATAATATTTGAAGTTATTCAGAGAAGAAAGTTCACACAATGGGAAACCGATACTGCAGAAAACTGTCTTTGAGGCAGAGCGGTTGGTGGATCCATATTCTCTTGAGAGATCCACCTGGGCAGGCTTTCCTGTCATCTTTCACTGTCTAGTGCTGTCACTCCGCACAGACAACGGCACGTGCTTTTGTTCTGAAGCTAACGGCAGGCTCAGCAGCAGGTGCAAAGCAGGGCTTGGCACATCTTAGACGGCGTAAACGATCTGCAGTTAAAATTAGACTAAACACCAAGTCTCACTTCAGTGACTACTTACTTAATCATAGGAGAAGATGGCACGTTCTCCTGATAAATTTCCAGGTCCATAATGCCAAGACTGCTAGTTGTACTGCTGTTGCCATTGCTGACAAAGCAAAAGTTTAAATATTAGCGCCAAGCTGCACTGAACATGTCTCCATACATCTTTTTTTAAATTTATTTATGTACAAAGCAAAGCGAGGAGGCTGCCCCCCGTTATGCAGAGTTCCACAAAATCAGCTGTGCTCAGTAAGTGGTTCCCAGAATGAAGCACACGAATCTGCTCAAAATAATGAGGCTTTTATTAAAATGGTTCTAGATGGAGCATGTATCAAGTGATGCTGTAAACTAGGAGGAAAAAAAAAAGTGGACTATCTGCTTGTGAATGGCTTATGCAATGAACATTTGGCCTCAAACAAGAAACCGGTCTGCATGAGTCCTTGAAAAGAAGGATTATCGGGTACAGAGATGTCCTGGAATAAACTTGCAGAGATTCAGACACCTCTGAACGTTGTGAGTTATAGCAAGGCATTTGGTTGCCCACCACACCACTTACCTGCTGGGTGACTCCATGCCTGTAACCAGCAGCAGTTTAAGTGTATTACATCGTACCCCAAATACTATCGGGGATCTGATGGAAGCCACAGGTACAGTGACGGCCCCTTATGTTTCTGACTACTCTGGAAGACTGAGATTTTAATTGAAGCCAGTGCTCACTGGGACCAGTAATATGTAGAAGCATTCTCTTTGGCTTCTTCACAAGAATGAAATATTACATCTGAGAATATTTGGAAAAAATGGTACCAGCTCACTTTATAACATCATTGTAAATGTGACAGTCAATGTTTATGCAGACATCGTACTAGTCTGATGAACAGGCTGTGAATTTGCTGGCTGCAAGTCAATTAGCACAAACAAGTTCTGTGTGGCGAGTCAACTTGAACCACTTAATTTTTACTGGAAAAGCAACTGTTAGTATTTTTCCTTACGTTAGAAGGATTGACCAGACAGTTCCTTTCCCCATCAGGTTTTTCTGAGTCAGTGTCAGCACGCCACACATTCAGACTTGCTGTAGCAATTTCTGTTTCAGTGCAGAGCCAAAAGGCACAATACCTTAGCTCTCTCAGAGCAAGGACTTTGTTAAAGGTTGATAATAATGGGATGAATGTTCACCCACTCTGACAGACAAGTTTCGTTCAGTATTTTTTCAGCTAGCCGACAGTGCTCGCTGACAGAGCCTCTTTCTCGTCCCTGCTTCATTACCATAACGTCTTCCCTCCTTGTCGTCTTAATACCCAAGAGCAAGATGTAATTACTTGACAATATTTTAAAACCTAATCTAAGAGCATGTGAAGAAAAAACCTTGCTCAATTTGAATGCGTGAAAGGGCTGAAGTCAAACTAACATCACTTTATATAAACTCTAAGGACTAGATAACATCTTTAAACAGGTCCTGACTTGAATAGGAACAAAAAGCAGCACATTGCACTGGGAGCTCTGGAATTCATGCCTACTCAGGGGGAACTCGGTCATCCTCTGTTGATCTGCTCCCCGTGTCAGTCGAAGCAGATCAGGGCTCTGTCTCTGCTCTCAGTGCACAGATACCTGGTGGGAATAGCAGCCTCGTCAATCTCAGCTAAGGAGATGCCAAAATAAACGTTATGCAAATAGTAGCAAAGAAATCACAGGAAAGACCGTAGCAATTAGCTTGTCTGATGGCCCTTTCACTGCAGGACTGAGGCACTTGAGCGGTGCCAGGAAGTTTTTTCTTTGCCTGAATCTAGCTGCTCACCAATAATAAAAGGACCTGGCTGAGAACCAGCGTGTGGCTAATTTTTTTTTCTTTTTTAAAAATAGAGAGATGAACTCTGCCATTAGGCTTTCTTTACAGTATTCTGAATACATCTCGAGCTGTTGACCCTCATTCCCGATGCGCGGTAGTCAAATCATTGGCTTGGTTGATTAGACCGTATCGTATACTGAGAACAGACAACATGGGTACCTCAGGGATCGCTCGCTGAGTTGTAAGTAGCTGCTTGTGTCATCAGGATTGTCCTCGTCGTTAGCTAGCTGGGACCAGCTGCCAGTGCTTTCTTCACTGCTGCTGAGGTGGTTTGGAAATTCTTCAGCTGTTTTTGTCTCTCCTAGGATTTCGGCATCCGGTCTGCTCTCAGGACTGCTGCTGGTAGGGTGACAAGGAAGGCACACTGACATTGTCATATAGGCAAACAAACCGGTGCCGCCAATCTTCAGGCAGCGCTGCTCGTTAAAGTCAGCCAAGCCGCAAAATTACACAGATGCAAGAGACTGGACAAGCTTGTAATTTATACATGAAGTCCAGTTGAACATCTGGTCTGAGATGCTCTCAAAAAAGGATCCGCTTAGGACTGCTATAAACAAACACAAAACAAAGTAAGCCTTATACTGAAATATGCATAGAAAAGGTTTAACTTGTACAAAAAGATTTTTACATGTACAAAAAGAACTGCGCACTGCATAGGCCTAGTGCTTAATGCACTTCAGTCAATCAGCGGTTGAAATATGCGGTATATGTTAGCGCAGAATGACAGCATTTCTTGGAAATATATGTTGGCACTAAATCCCTGTCGTACTAATGGGTGAGTAAGTTTCTTGCCAGGGTTTTCCACTCTCTTAGCATTGTAGATCCAAAAGAGGTCTAGAAGTAGAAGTAGGAAAGTATTGTGGGTTGAGAATCCCTCATGACTCAGCCTGCTGTGCCGCTTAGGATCTTTGCTGCTTAGCTTGGGGAAGGAGGCAGTATTCTTTTTCTAGGCAGGTGTGCAGCAGGTAGTCAGAAACCAGACTGAATATGGAGCCCAGACTGAGTTTAGAAAATACAGGGTTAAGGGAAAAATGCTTTATAATTCTGCACAGTTGACATATATCTCACACACACACACATTTATATGACACACAGGCTCCCACAAGTGTACACACAAACAAACAAAAAAATCCCTATATTTACGGTAACTTTTCAGAACAAAACTGGACATTGTGAGACTTACCGTGGGACTTTCGATATGCAGGCAGAAAAGTATATAATAATCCAAGCCCCCCTCTTTTTGGATGATAAGAAAGAATTAATTATATCACCGCAGTGCCAGAACAACAATCAAAGCAAAACTGCAGTTTTGTTATATTTACTGCATGGTTTGCATTTGCAACTTTGTGATTAAAACCGTGTAATGTGTACTGGCAACCCTCTGCAGGATCCCTCTAGAGAAGTTCTCGCCTTCAGACTTTTATTTATAGTTATGGCTGAGGCACTCTGTCTTCAGTTAGAGCAAGAGATCACCCCCAAAATTCTATTGCTCCCAAGTAATTAACTTGATTAAGAATATACTGAGACGATATCATTGTGGGTATCTCCTTCTGCTGTGCCCTCACTCTCAGGACAACTGAGGAGTTGCTGCATTAATGCTGGATGTTAGAGAGTGAGGCAGCCTCCTGTACGGGGAGAAAGGGACTTGTTTGCCTGAGGGCCTCTGCTCTACCAGGCAGTCAACATCTGTCAAATAACTACGCCTGTCATCCCTGACCCCTCAGGTACAAAACTCCTCATCTGTAGGAACACGAAGGCACTGAGCGGCCGGGTCGCAGGGTAGTGGTGTTATTCAGATTTTTAACACAGGGCAGGTAGCACGGTCCAAAGCGCGAGAGATTTCTGTGGGCGTTGTTGCTTGGCATTTTGGGTTTTGTTGGATTCATTATGCAATTACATCTCAGACTAGCGATGCTTTGAACTGACAGTTCCCTACTTCTGAACAGTCGGTTGGAACAGTTTCTGTGTATCTGTGACAGGACTGGGTCTGTTGCACTGCCTACGTACAAGAAACTACTCTTTTTCCTTGCTGAAGACCTTCTGCCCAGGCCTGCGTGGTTTTCTTTTTTCTAACTGACTATATGTCTGCTTGATATTTTGCCTGGATTCCTATGTGCCTGTATCTACACTAGCAAGTAATTTCATGCGGTAGGAGTGGATCAAAGCAATTGGTGCTGATGCTTTTATATCTGCATTATACATATTTTTAGGTTTTTACTTCAGCCTAGACTCGGTCCAGACAGCCATGCCACAAGTAATTCTGCCCCTCTACTCTGCTCTGGTGAGACCCCACCTGGAGCACCACGTCCAGCTCTGAAGCCCTCAGCATAAGACAGACACGGACCTGTTGGAGCAGGTCCAGAGGAGGGTCACAAAAATGCTCAGGGGGATGGAACACCTCTCCTGTGAAGAAAGGCTGAGAGAGTTGGGGTTGTTCAGCCTGGAGAAGAGAAGACTTCAGGGAAACCTTCTTGCAGCCTATCAGTACTTAAAGGGGGCTTAAAAGAAGGATGGTGGCAAACTTTTTAGCAGGGCCTGTTGCGACAGGACAAGGGGGAATGGCTTTAAACTAAAGGGGGGTAGATTTAGACTAGATAGAAGGAAGACATTTTTTACGCTGAGGGTGGTGAAGCACTGGCACAGGTTGCCCAGAGAGGTGGTGGATGCCCCATCCGTGGAAACATTCCAGGTCAGGTTGGACGGGGCTCTGAGCAACCTGATCTAGTTGAAGATGTTCCTGCCCACGGCAGGGGGGGTTGGACTAGGTGACCTTTAGAGGTCCCTTCCAACCCAAACCATTCTATGATTCTGTAAGTAGTTCAAATCCACGTGAAGAACCACTGGAAGCTTTGCCTTCCCAGTAGGGATACGGGCACGTCTGGTACACACTTGTGCAGCTCCTAGTTGAGATTCCTTTAAAAGAAATCTGCATTGCATGCTGCATGGAAATGGAGACAAGTTGATTCAGAACCGCACTGCATCGCTGAACCAAAATGCTCCTGTAGATGTAGCCTCTGGTTACTAATTCTGCCCTACCAATCCTATTGCTTTAAACTTCCCATAGCCACTTCGGGAACTCTGCATCAAAGGCAGAGGAAACGCTGTTATTAAAGGGCTCATAAACTGTGCAAAAATAACTTCATTTTCAGACAGTCAAGATTCCAAATAGGTAGATTTCTAAATGTATCTTATTAAAAGCAGGTTGCATTCGAAGGAAGAGCAAGGTTAGTGGGGGAGAGTCAGTATGAAAGAATAGGGACTATGATAATTATCCATCTAATTGCTACCATACACAGGAAAGTACATGCTTTCTCACTTCAAGCAGCGCTTTGTCAAAAGCCAAAACAGAGCGCTGCCTAGAATAAAAGGAGCTACAAAATGGTTTCTAACACTAGCACCTGCACTCTTTCTAGCGCTCTGAGATAATGGAGTGCTGCAATGCTCCAAGCAATTGGCACTTTAGATACCATTAAAGTAACAGAGACGATGAAGAAGTATAGTTAAAAATAGGCAATGCCTTGAGAGAGAGCCTTGCTCTTAGCCTCATAGCATCCACAGCAATCCTTGACATTTGCACTGCGCTCTCGTACTGGGCTTACACTTCGCCTTAACCAGAGCAAGTTGCAGATTTCTCAACAAAAGGAGTACAGCTGTAAGGAGAGGGTGGTAAGCTGTGGTATAAACTCCGTGAAATGAAATCAAAATAAAATGAAATTTTATTCTTTTCTGTATCTAAATTCTACCAGAGAAGTCTTGAACCAAAGGAGGTGAGGGGTGCTTTTAATTACTATTTTATTTCCTCCACTAAAGAATTTTTGTTACTCGTAGCTCCAGACTGTAAACACAAAGCTGAACTTCAAGCTCTCAGAAGTCTGGTCTTGTTTCCAGGTACACAAAGCATTAGTTGTACAAACAAGCATAGTAGAGAACTACAAGCCAAATTCTGCTATCTTCTGTTTTACACTAACTCTGATTTTTATTTATTTTTTTTAATTGAGATATCAGCCAGCGCTAAATGATAGTTCAAACTTCATCCATCTTCCCTGCCTTGACTGTGGAAGACTTAAATATCTGTAGAGGGAAAACTTACTTGTCTGTGCAGTATTAGATTTGAATCTCAGAACCATAGTATCATCACAGTCAATGTAATTTGCTCCAGAAATCGGCACTGTGATATACGATTGGGTGATTTTTATGCCATTAGAAACCTGTAGTCAGAACTTAACCTGTCTATTTCTTTAAAAGTGCTTCTCTTATCTTCTTCCTTTATCAAAGTAATTTTTACTGGGAAATTAAGAACAAACACCAAAGCAATGTGCTGATTTGCTGTTTTATCACTTACCTGTTTAGTAGGGAACTGGAAACCGTGTGTTTCCCGTCAAAAGCTTCTGGAGGCTTTTCTTTGCTTTGATGCTCCTTTCCAGAAGGGCCACATGAAGTTAAGGACTCTGAGTCTTTATCTAGCTCATCTCGTTGATCGGTTTCTATCTGAATTAAAGGCACTTCCCTGTGCTGACCTGCAGGGAGGCATCCAGGGCTCTTCACATGCTCTTTTTTCTCATCCAAATTTACTCCATCCCTTTTGGGTTTTGACTGAATCCGAGTTGCGCTTTGGGGATGTTTGCTTTCCAGCACGTGTTGTCGGCTTGTAAAATCAAAAGAATCCTGCTGGACAACAATTAAATTTTTACCGCTTTCAACAATATTTGCAGCCAGTCTGTTTGCATATTGTTCCACATGTGGTGGGGAATCACTGTGAAACTGGTCTGCCTCTGCAGCCTCTGCCTCATCTGCTATGATTTTATTCTTGCGCATTAAAGATTCAATAGAACTTGCCCACGTCTCGTGAATCAACATATCTGTTATCTGGTCAGTCTTGCATCTTTGGTACAGGCATGAGTCAGACTTGCAAAGGCCTGAAGAAGCCACGGTACTGACTGGCTGTACACTTAAGGAATCTCGGTGATGGTGAGCAAATCCATCTAATGAATTGGCCTTAACCGGGACGCTAACTGTTAGCCTAGAGCCTGATGATCTGCTGTCAGGCACTGATGACTGCCTAAAGCAAAAAGGTGATCGCAGAGAGGGTGGTAGCAAACTGCCGCACCAGTCCGTTGAGTTCCGAGGGGAAGACATGTTATCTTTATTTTCCTTCTCTATTTCTCTTAGCATATACCTATAAAATTCTTCTGTTATGCTTTCTGTGCTGGACTGTTTGGATGGGCAACTTGGTCTTACATTAAGATGACCATTTTTCTTGGCTACCTGTTGCAAAGCAGAAGTTAAGATGTTGTTTGCATTTTTTCCTGCATAGTAATCCAGTAATAAATCAAACCCTCTTCCTTCATTTTCCATCTGGTTCACCATAAATCTTGAAAATTCATCTGTAATGCTTTCACAACTAGACTGCTTTGAGACAGAACTTGTCTGGCTCACAGGCTGACCAAAGGTGTTCATTAGGCCTAGGGTATTGAAAGAGGCTTTGGAATCCGAGTCCTCCTCCGGTATGCTCTCACAGCTCGAGGCCTTGGCTCGGCTCCATCTGTCACAGTGCAGCCTGTTCCTGGGGTGGTTTGGACCTTGCCAGATGCTATCAACCATGGAGAGTTCGGTGAGGTTCATGATCTTGGCAGCCACTTCATTTGCAAAGATATTGACTGAATCTGGTGTGTCCTCAAGGTTTATAGATTCATCTACTACCCGATTCATCAACCTTTCCTTTAGCTCAGGATGCTCATCTGTTTTTCTTTTGATCTCACTAAGTCTAGGTGCCCTGTGCTTCCGAACAACTGAACCATTAGCGTGGGTTTCCTTTTTCCTTTTCATGGTTCTGCATGATAAACTCTGGGTCACCAGATATTCATTGCCTCTCTTCCATGCACAGAACCAGGGTTGCTTTCCATTTGAATTTTCAAGACAAATGGCAGCTATTTCTGTTGCCATAGAGACAACTGTTTCTGCCAATTCTTCTGCAAAATCTGTTATACAATACTTGTCCCTTGAATGTTTCACCTGTACCACAGGCTGAGAAGGAAGCAAGACATGATTTCCTAATAACGACAAGCTAACCTGAACATCATTATTTAGCACAGCATCACACTTATGCTTGGCCTGTTTTTCTGCATTCATGGCGGCACTGGAAGACAGCTGTTCTTGAACACCGTGCCTGCATTCATTGTTTGCAAAGGTATTTTCCTTGTCTGAAAATGATCTGTAATCTTTCTTCTTCTGATGGTTGTTATTTGGGGATTTGTAACAGTCTCGTGCGGTTCTTTTCAGGTATCTTTTCTTGGGAGACGTTTTTGCGACAAGTGCGTTATGCCCTGCAGCTCTACTTGTTGGTTCTGAATTCAGCGTGGCACCTTCCTTGCTATTTACATCTTTCATATTACTTTTCCTAGTGTTTGTGACGTTTCCAAGATCTCTGCTAGCACTAGGGCCGTAGGATGTACCAAACGGCTTAACAGCAGAGTGACCAAGGGGGCTGTGTGAAGTTTCACGTGCCGTTGCCTGTGTTGACCATCCTTCTGCTCTTGTTACTTTCTCTGCTTTTGTGCCTTCGGAAAAGAGAGGAGAACACTCTTCAACTTGTCTTATGTCATTCATCTTCTTGCAAGTGAAATATATTACGTTAAAAAGCAGCTCATTTGCAGTCTCCATGAAAATGTCTTGTGTGCTTGAGCCGTTTTCTGAACGGGGGTGTAGCTGTCTCTTCTTCCTAACCTCTTCAATAGAATGTCGTAGAATAATATTGGATAAGTTTTGCGCAAGTTCATCCCCGATTACTTCATCAGTGTGTGGGATCCGTGGCCTTGCTGCTGTTTCAATAATTTTTCCATTTATGGATTCCATAAAATGCCCTACATTTTTGTATGTGTTGGGTTTTGTCAAAATTACTGATGCCTCTTTGAGAAGTGCCTCTGCAATGCTATCATTTAGCTTCTCCATGCTGCTTCCTATAGCTATGCTACAATGAAGAGTAATGGCTGCAGAAGTCTGAGCAGCAGACAGAAGTCCACTCGAAGTTGCAGGGTACGTCTCTTCCTTCGTTTCCCCCAGACCACAGACGGCTACAGCACTTGCTACTTGAGTCATGCCACACAGCGCAGATGGAAATGAATATTCTGTGCCAGCACAGTCATCAGGCAGCTGTGAAGATGCTGTGTGCAGCTCTTCATTATCAACCACTCCGCTTTTAGAGTCTGTGGCTTCTTGATCCCGTCTGAATTTTTCTGCAGCCTGGGGACTGGAAATGGTTCCAATAACAGTGGCTGCACAAGCCAGAGCCACTTCCAGCGCGCTCTGGCCGTGTCCATTTGAATGCTCTTCCTCAAAGTAATCCAAAACTTCAGCAGAACTTTCTGATTCAGTCCAGTGGCACAGGTTGGGGAAGGCAGACCCCGGCCAGTCAGATACATTCTCAGAACTGTCTGGACTTTGCACTATGACGATCTTTGGAAGTTCATTCCACGATCGGGAAGCAGATGCGTCTTCTGACTTACAGGAGCTTCCTACGGAGATGCTGACTGCAGCCTCCTCACTAAAAGTGGGTTGAGACTGTGACAGTCTAATGAACGCATCTTGCAGAACAGATTCTGCTAGATTTGTGGCATACTGACCTGTAGTTGCCTGCTCGTTTTGCGAGGGAGGATCGGTTTTCCTGATACCTGCACAATCCTCTCCGTCTGTCTTACCGTTGTGTTTCGCTGGTGGGTCATACAGAGGCCCCAGCTCCTCTTTAGCCATTTTGGCTAAAGATACATCTTCTAACACGTGCGCTGAGCAGGAATTTTCAACCTCACTAGTCAAATTAGTGGTACTAAAGGATGAAGTAGCTCTGCCAGCTAATTCCTTCTGCCACAGTATTTCCTGGTCTGACTTATCTTCAGGTTGTAAGATGCCATCTTCAGCCACAATATTCACAGCTTCAGAGACTCTAGTAGCTGCATTATCTTTATTAATGCAGTTCCCTTCAAGAATGAACGGTAACCTGGCTTTTCTGTAGTGGAGGTTTTCAAATCCCTTTCCTTTATTCTTTTTGACATCTGAAGATGCTTCTGAAACACTTACTTTTTCATGACCTATCAAAAGAAAAATAGGAAATTAGTTTTTGCAGAGTACCCTGTAACTTTAAAAAGAAAACAGCTGCACAGCCGTGTAACGCATTACTGCCCTGTAAAACTACCGCACAACCATGTATCCTTGTCTTTGAACAACAATTTAAAAATACAAATGGCTGTCCGTTTTCTAAATTACAAATAAATATATGCATGAATTAACATCAAGTGCAGTTTCTGTGAGCATTGCCATGGCTGTTTTGCAGTACGACCAATAGCAGAATTATGCTCAGTTCCGTTGCTTTTACCAGTTTTATATTCATCAGCCTCGTTGTCGTCCTCGAGGTGCTCAGACGCTGTGAGGAAATCTTCTTCTATTGAGGACACCGAGCAGTTTGTGTCATCCTCGGGCTTTAAGACATGAGCTTCTGTCTGCAGCTGTCTCTCCTGAACGAGCTCAAGTCCAATCAGAAACTTGTTTATTTCAAAAATGATGCAGCTTGCGCTATTTTTCCTGTCCCCCCTCGCACACTGAACCAAGCAGACATCTGCCAGCCAAGGACGCTAAAGGGGAAAAGAATCTAAAATAGTTATTTAATTAAAAAATAAAACTCATTTTAAGCTTCCCTCTCTATAAATATCTCGGGAATGTTCTGTTGCAAGGATGCAATACAATTTGTTATTTAGATGTTTGTAACACGGTATGCAGTTACATGTATGCCAAAATAAGACCGCTTGGACTGACAGCTTTTGTTATACGGGCGTTTTAGTAGAGAACCCAGCTGTATCACAGGGGCATCTTTATTTTGTTGAAATCACCAAGTTGTTTGTTTTCAATCAACTCCTTGTTCTAACGACAGAGACTTACTTGCTTTTAGCCATGTCAGAGTTAGCCATCTGACATACTGTTATTAACAGCCTCACACCACCCAGTATTACCTGTCTCTTGAGGGAATTGTTTGTGGGTATGAATTCCTTTTCAGGATAATTTCTGTCGCAACGCTTGTTTGAAGGCAGCCCTGTAAATACTGGCTGGCGAGATTGTTAAGAGTGGGTCACCTTTAGATGTTCCTACAGACTGTTTTAAAGTACTGTTTTTATTTTGTTTCTTTGCTCTTCTTCCTCTCACTCCTCGTTTGCCCAAAGCCCCATTATTTCAGACCAGTATAACCTCCCACTGGAAATGGGGCTCCGGTGCGCACTGTGCTGAGCCTTTCTATAAAACGGTCTTACCCAGAGAAGCCGTACAATTAAGTTGAAAGTTGGACAGCAACTGAGAGAGGGGAACTCTCGTTATCCTCGTTTTATTGCTGTTAAAACTGTCGGATATTTATACAACCACAGAGCTAAGGTGATATCTCTGCATGGGACTACGTTTGCGGTACGGATGTACTCTGAAGCAAAGCCAAGCTTTTGCAGCTTGTGATCTTGTGCTTTAACTCCAGGCTCCCGGGAAGGAGCCAGCTTGAGTGGAACCAGCTCTGGATTGAGGCGGTAGATTTTAAGCTGTGCAAAAGATGCCCTGGACCCCCTGTGCATTTGCACAGTATCTAGCATAATGTAACCCCATCCTAGACCTTTCATCTTTGAGTATGAATGCAAAGCAAATGCCTAGTAATAAAGGGAGTGGGATGAGTGTTATGCTGGAATAGCATGTTTTATTAGCCTGCTCTTCCTTTCCACCTAAAAAACGTGTCTGAATGGAAAACCGGACAAATTAGTGTGTTAAAAGTAAAACAGAAAAGACAGATTTTTTTGAACTAGCTGCTAAGAAATTGTTGCTGAATCAGACTTGAGCACTCACCATATTGTGAAAAATGTTATTAAAAACAGATGCAGCCTTAGATCAAACATTCCCCTGCTGTTTCTCCAGCCCGCAGTTTGCAGAGTCGGACTTGTGAAAAGGGCTGAGGGGGAACAGAATAAAAATCCTTGTATGGAAACTATGCGAGCCTCCTTACAAACGACATTCTCTCGAAAGCCAAACAAATGTAAGGACGAACATAGCATGCGCTTATCTGGCCAATAAATCTCACCCAGTCTCAATGCAAAGCTTTACTCATCCTACAAGACAGCAATTTAGGTTAGTGCTCATTCGTCTCTTGCCTGCACTCTCTCTGAGAAGGCTGCCAGTCTCAGTGGCGCAGTCTTTCGGAGATGGGGATGACTTGGGTACTTGAGTCATCTTGTTCGGGCCTCGAAACACCCTCGTGTGTATTGCAGCGGCTTCCCCCCAGGGAAGTGGGGTTTGGAACTCCACTGCTCCCACCACAGGCTTGTGCTCTTATTTTTTTTTTTTTTTAAACTTTCTGAATTCAGCCATTAGTTACAAGCGGCCAGAATGCTCAATAACCAGGCAATTTTCTTTAAAGATCAGCTTATTGGTATAAGAAAAAATTCAATGATTTTTGCAATACAGCTGTTCCAGGGCCTGCTTCGTGAAGACTTTTGTACACAAGTTAATTTCAGTGAAAAAAAGTTTTCTGCTTTTCTTTTTTTTTCTACAGCAGATAAAACTGGAGATACCTGTTCATGTTTTAAGTTTGCTGAGACAGTTTTGTACTCCAGGATAACTCTGCGGCTTTAATGACATTGTTCCAAATTCATGCTTGGCCGAATGAGATCAGAATCAGGGTGAAAAATACTGAAGTATTTTTCATTCTCTTTCTTTACACAGACATGAACAGGCATAAAGTATGATAAAAATGGAAAGGAAGAAAAAGCTTTTTATTACAATAAGGAGTTAAGCTTCTTGTGTATTAAAATGCCTTTAAGCAAATGTTATTGTTTGCTTCCTTTCTCTATGTGGTGCCAGTGAGAGGAATTCTTGGCCTCCAGATCACAGATAGGGAACGTTTCATTGGCAATAATGGAAGTGGAGGAGTTAGCATGAGAATTTTTGCCTTTAGCTCCTTTAAATGTTAAGTTTTAATTAATGCATTAATTACTTTTTAAGTTGACGGAAGCTAAATGGGGTATCAGCTCTGATATGGTTAATGTAGCTTGGTATTTTCCATTGCCACATTCAGGCTTACAGTAGCCTGTAGGATCTTCAAGTCCTATCGTCAGCTCTTTTCTGAGGCGCACGCGTGGGAGAGGGATTGGGAACAAATGTGGGAAGTAGCAAGACTTCACCTGAAAGTGAGTCTGTAGGAGCTGTGCCCTGATCTAGTTATGTGCACAGAAAAAGTGTTACATCTTTCCTTTCCCCCCTCTGTGCTGCCCCCTGACTCCTGCTACTCTTGAAATCTGGGCTTACGAATCATCTCTGCCACCAATGCCTGCCTCCCCTGAAGGATCAACAGCTAACATGGCTTAAAGTGTTATCAGCTGCAACCCAGACATCCACAGGATCTAGAGTGAATGCAGGATCTCTCTCCTATCTTTGTGTCACCCCCCTGCCACACACACTTAACAGACTTTTGTTAGACAGATTCATTTTTTTATGTTTGCAAACTCCCACTCATCTCTTAAACTGGTGCAAGGTCTTTGCTTTCAGCTTCCTTTTTTCCATTTTCCAAATTCCATCCTTCGCAGGTGTGATGTGATCTTAAAGATGAGTTTGTTTCCTACCTGGGGAACTTCATAATCGGCCTGAAGGTTTCCTGATGCTAATCCACTCAGCAGGACTATTTCATTTTCCTTTGGTGGCTGTACGTTCATCGAACTGATGAGTTTGGGGAGATTTGGAGAGACGCTGATTAATCTCTGTAGTATGAAAGATAGATTTTGCTCTCAGGTAATGAAGTCTGAGTTGCACAGTTATATTACTAAATACCAAAATGAAACACCACTTATAGGCATCCCTTTAGAAAGTTTACTTGAACTTACTACTTTGGGTCGATTAAAAATAGAACTGGCAGCATTAAAATGCACATACTTTCCTTTGAGCCACCAGGCAAGACAACCGTGACAGTATAAACTTCTGCACAACTGTCCAGCGGGACAATCTGTCATCCCTTACATTGTCATGTGCTGAACAGCTTGACTGTATTTGTGCATCTAAATGCTTGGCCTCCCTGTTACGAGTGAGTTCCTAAGAGGCTGAGAACACTGCCTGTTACTGTCTATACCAGAAAAGATTCAGTAAGTACGGTAATGAGAACAGGGCAAATCTTCCAGTTTTCCTCCAGGCACGGGACAAGCAAGAAACCAAAGGGAAAGTTAGCTGGAAATTGCTCATCAAATTGATGCAATACTAAACCTGGAATAACGGAAGGATTTAATACGCAGAGGAAATATGCGTTTCTTTGCTGTTCCACTGGACACCTTCATGACCTTTCCTTTGTAACGATACAATCATTTTCTACCTGTTATGCATTTGCTAGAGCCCAAAGCGGTAATAGTCACAACACCAATGATGCTGTGTAACACAGATCCGTATCGCAGTACTGCTAGGAGTCCCCAGTGATGTGCAGGAGACATCTGTGCTCATTCGTGTACAAAGGCCAGACCAAAAGGACACCACCTACTCTAAGAGTGCTTGTGGTTCTTTTCTGCCAAGGATCTGTGTGCTTGCTTTAGGAACAGGGAATCAAGGATGACCTCTTACAGGGGGAGTAAATACCACCTCCATTTTATGCACTGACACAGTCCATCAAATGACAAAGCCATTAAGGGAATGCAGATCTCGGGCACCCAGCTGTACACTTTAGTTACTATGCAATTCAATGATACTTCACTTTTTCCTTTTCATCTTCAAAATAATAAGCTTGCAGTACTGTTATTAGTACTGAATTAGATATAATAAAACTTTCTGGCTTAGCAAATCTAATTCAATTTTGGGGAACAATTCACTTTTCTGTAGACTGATCTTCAGATGAGGCTAAGTATTTATATTTGACATAACTAAATTCAGTGCTTCAATTCAGTTTGACATTTCAGTATAGTACAAAAAAGTTCTCATCCTTTTCTTTTCTCAAATTATAACCTTTCTCTTATCACACACATTTCTCTATGTATCTCTATTTTTCTACTGCCTAAATTGCCACATTTTATCAGATTCCTTTGGTAGGAAATCATGGCATCTTGTATATCTTTTACTTCAGTTCCTTACCTTTTGTTCAGAATAAAAACCAAAAAGTCTGGAAAGATGATTATTTTACACCAAAAAAAAACAATTTAACCCATTCCAAGGTTCAAAGGGTAATGCAAAATCCTAACAGTACCTATTAGTAAATAGTTATATATTTCATATGAACAACAGCTATGCCAACGTCTTTAAAATTCTTCTATGAAATCCTTTCACCACATCAGTGTGTTGTATAAAAATCCACCCCACTCAAAGCTAATTTACGCAAACTGCATATTATACACAAAAATTGTGATGAGCGAGTTTCCTCTTAGAGAAGAATACACAGTACCTGTGCTAGCAGTGAATTTTTATTACGTACACTGAAAACTAAAAGAAAAGTGTCATCACCCAGTCATGGCTTATAAACGTGTTGACTCTGCACCAGAAACTACCTTTCTAAAATGCGGCCAAACGTTGCGGTCTCTCCGTTACCGGTCCCGCCGCGTGCCAGGCGGGGAGGGCCAGCTGTGGGCATGTCGGGGTGCGGTACTTCGGGGAGCTGACCAGGCTCTGCTGCGAAGGAAGAGCTTAGGGCTAGGCGAAGCGCGTGGGCAGTGAATGTACCACTGCTGCAGGGCTGACAGGTAAAAATCATGCAGCTGCTTTCAAAGGTGATTTGTGCTTGTGAGGGAGTAATCTAATCGCCAGGCTCTGTAAAGGGTAGCTGCATAAAGCTAGTTTAAGTTGGCTTTTACAGATATCTAGCTCTAAGATTGAGGGAGAAACTTTTGGTATTTCCTTATGACTTGCTACAGCTTTTGTTCCTTAATAAACACTGTAAACAACAATAAAACCGTTGCTTATTAGAAAACAACCAGTGCTTCTGTGGATTCAGTAAAGTTGAACCTCTCAAGCTGTTCTGCACAGTTAACCTGCTGATTCAACAGAAAAATCATCTTGCTGCAAGAAGCTGTATTTATTCTTGACATCTGAATTTTCACAGATCCAAGATGCAGAAAACAGCATAGAAAAACAGTTCCTGCTAATGAATGACTTGCAGGAGGCAACAAGGCCCCAGCATTGGTTGTCCTCCCATGAGCTAAAAGTGGTTTTGGCAAACTAATCGTAATGCTTTACTGAGGAACTCCCTGGATGTTGTCAGGAGATCCTACCTTTGTTCACTTACCACATATTGCTGCCATATTGCTGTGCCGATCATAGGCACCAAACCAGGATGATGAAAATGAACTGATAAAGGAAGATGTAAACTCAAAACTGACACCAGGCCACATCTTAAAATGTGACTTCCTCAGATTTGGGTTTTTTTTAGGAATAGTACGTATTTTAAATAGCGTATCATGATGTAGTTTGTCTCAGTGTTTGTAAAATAACCAAGCTTTTTTTCTTTTTTTTTTTTTTTAACCCCTTTTTTCTACCCTCCAAACTTTCAGTTAAACAGGTAAAACACACCTTTAGTTCTGTTTTGTCTAGACCCCTCCTCAAGACCACATAATCAAACTATCTGGAGTTTGACTGAGTAAGACTGGTCAGCTGAACAAGACCTAAATGAGTAGGAGATTCTCAAAAGCTTTTTGGCATTAGAGACATCAGAAATTAATTTTGTGTAGTATTATGTCAAATTAAAAAATTGGATGTATGACATATCCATGTCCACTTCTCTGATAAAACCAAGGCTGAGCAAGATGTCCACTCGTATGATAACTGCTGTGAATTCACAGGCTGCAACAATCCATTAGGTGTTTCTGGGATGGGAGTAAGAAAAGCTATAAAATATGGCCTGGTGTTGAGATAATTTCAGATTCCTGAGGCATTGCTCTCTGTAAGGGTGAAAAACCTAGGGCTGGCTTTGATTTGCCCTTAGAATTGTGATCTGGGTTTGTATTGGAGAGCCCTGGTGTACCTGACTAGACCCATTGTGCATGCTATTAAGACCTAAACTGTTACCTGTTTCACTTGCTCATCGCTGCAATCATCTCTGTTTGCATCTAAATTCACAAAACAAACCTGTAATAAGAGAGAAAAAGAAACAGAAGCTTATAAAGTCATATTAGAATGGCAGCAACCCTTTTAAAGTCAATATATGCTCCTTTTCTAGCCTTGTAGCTGAATATGTGAAGCCTTTTCCTAGTACGAGAAAGGTTGAAGGGTTAGCAAAGAGAATAGCAGAGTAGATAATAAGAAAGGGAAAAAAAAGTTAAGAGTCATGACTTTATCTGCTCTGACAATTAGCTTGTCTGACGAATGGGCAAATGTTGCCCATAAACTGTAATACAGAGGATATTAGAAAAGATAGAGGAAATGTTAAAAATGCATGTGATCGTATATCAGATAAACTCTTCACGTCTTGCTTTTCCAATGATTTCTTCTTTTCAGGCACTTGTTGCTAAATGTTTCATAAGTGCAGGCGTTGATATATGTAGAAATTGTGAGTTGCTTTTAGAGTTTTCTCCACAACACATAAATATTGTAGTATTTTTCCTAACTGTCCAAGCTTCCTAAGTAGAAGTTTAAGACTTTATGGAAGTATTTTTTTTTAACCGTGGTTCATGAGCCAATATGCAAGCAGAAGTTTTCAGCAGTGCTAACCGGGCACTACAACAGGTGGCAGAACAGCTTACTATCTAGTAAGTTTACATGTGATTCACTACTGGAAAGTACTACTTTTAACAAGGTCTTTTGCCCCTTCTTTGATCATTATGAGTTTCAGCAACCATTTAATGGTTGTGAGATTGACTTAAACAGAAACTTCAGATCTAAAGACCATTTCATTTCTGAAGACATTTATTTTTTCACATGACTGGAAGGCCGTTTTCTAATTTTCAGAAAAAGAAAATCCCTCCTCCAGCTTTATTTCCGAGTTAGAAGCAGGAACTCCAAAGCTAGGCTGACCGTCCTACTTCTGAGCACTGCGGATATCTCTTTAGAAGTTTGTGAGAGTTTGGTGTTGTCTTGATTTAAACCAAAACCTGGCACAGATTCAGGGCTGAGCTGAAGCCAACACCTGATTCCAAATAAATTGCAGATCCAGAATATATCTTCTAAGAGCTGTGATTTCTTTTTTTTTTTTCTTTTCCAGCAAACACTGACTCTCCAGGTTTTATGATAATTTTATGTATTTTTCCCCTAGAAAAATACAATGCTCTATTATCCCCTTCACCAATATTCTTGTGTTAGGCATCTGAGCTCCTGTTGTGTGCCTGCTTTTACCCCAAGACAACACTGATTTCAGTTTATGTATGCACATACCATATGTACAGATTATGACCATCTGCAGTAACAGCTAGCACAGCAGATGGAAAGATCCAGCCAGACCTCCCATTGTAAACCAAAAAAACCCCACTGAAAAAGAAAGCTTTTTGCCCTTTTAAATAGTTTAATGGCATCTTTATATGAACTTAAAAACATATTTTCCAACATTTTTGCAATTTTAGGAAAAATATTTCTCTGCCTGACAATGTCAGTTATCAGGATACGCCACTGTCATCTGCATTGTATGGCTGGCTAACTTTTAAGAAATAGTTATAAAAATTTCTAAGCTATAAAGTATTAGCGGTACCTCTAGCAATATAATGTGGTAGTTATGTAATGTCCTAAACATGTTACAGTTAATTATACAGACAAAAATTTGTCTTCCTTTCCTCCGGGACTTTACATGTAGGCATTTTACGTATCAGCAATAGGTAGTTATTACAAAGCATTAGAAAATTACGCTCTTGATTCGCACGTGTACTTGCCCAACGCCTGCAGTGATACGTGGTTATGAGTCCGCAGGTGCACGGAGCTGCGTTTGCTTAGGCGACCATTAATTTGGCAACCCGGGTAGGACTGCTGGAAGGTATGGGTCCAGTTTCTAGTCCTCCCAAGCATGTTCACTAACCATACCGAAGGTAGGGCTGTTACATAGGAGCTTTGTTGCCAAGCCCCCGCGCCAGAGTGGTAAAGTCTAGTTTTGTCCTGGATTCAGCATGAAAGCTTTGTGAAAAAGCTGCGTAGGAGCCATCGTGTCTGCGCGTACATTCCAGCCAAACACTCAACTCTCTGGTAAACCCTGTTTTGTCGTTTGTTACCTACATCTGGTTTGTTACCTGCATACATTTGTTACCTGTTATACACTGGCACTCCTACCAGTGACACCGACTACCATCCTAAAGGTATGCCCTTTCCGAGCAGCCAAAACATCATCTATTTCGCGTGGCGTGGATGGCGTATACTCACTAACGCTTCAGTAGAAGAAATAACAGTATAAGCAGGAATATCTATTATTTAAAGTCATATTCTCTTTCTTTCATCTGTTTTTTTTTTCTTTTATTTTCAGAACCCAATGAACTAATACTATAAAACCTACGGCAGTACTGAATCCAGTTTCCAAATACACTTGTCAAATTCCATTGACATTGATTTATTACACTGCCAATGCAGTCTCTTAGCGTTTTCCTGTTCTGTGGATTTTGCAGTTTTAATTATAGGCAACATTAACACAAAAATAGTTTTGCACTGGTGAAAGAGACCGAGGAACTCATTTACTTTTCCCGTTTTGCTGTTTGCTTTGAGATTAGCCCTGCTTTGAGCAGGAGGTGGGACTAGACGGCTACTGTAATCATAAATTAACTCTACAGCTCCATCCTGGCAGGCTCTACACTACTGCTGCCTTCTAGGAAGTTCACCGTGAGGATATTTTTCTTGGAGATACTTCACTAGAGGTGCTCAAAGAGAAGAAGATCCATCTGAAAAATCTCTCGCTGTTTTCTGCTTACGTAATACAAAATTTAACCTCTCACTAGCTTGCATTGCTTGATGAACTTCTAGTAATTACCAGAGACACCTCTGTCAAAATAAGGCAAAACAACAGTACAGAATAATTCCTAATCCGTAGGAAAGAAATATTGCATAGATTATGAAGAAAGAGCCAAGGTCAGGTCTGCATTTGTTAACCTCAATTTAATTCTGACTTTTTTGCTTTGGATCAGATGCAGCTTAATGTATTTTAGCTTCATTTAACTAGAACCTAACCATGTCCTAATCATAGTATCTTTAAATGTCAGTCCTTTCCCATACGCTTTTCCTTTACACCTCACATCCTTGTCTTCCCACAAACATCTTTTCACTTCCAAAATGTGTCTGCTCCCCACTCATACTGAGCTACTGTCTGCTACCATGCAGAAACATCAATTGCCTTTTTTTCTGTCTTAGGAAATATTTATTTTGGAGGGAGAAAACAACTAAAATTAAATGGTGTTACGTAACACAAAAAGGAAGAAAACCAAATTCTGGCTTTACTTAATGAGATAGTCACCCACAACTTCCCTGTTAGATGCTAATATCTGCTTTTGGTTCAGTCGTGATTCCAGCGTAGAAATCCTGTTAGCTCAAGTGAGAACAATACTTTTCTTTTGGTGAACATGTACCACTGCACTCAAATCTAGAGTCTCAATACTGGCAGAAAGCAGTATGCTACATATCCAGAAACCATTTAACACACAATCACATGGTAAATAGCAAACTTTTCACTATGCAGATTCTTGTACATGAATAACATGAATTGGGGTCTGAACCCCAAGCCTCCCTTCATAAAACTCTCCAAGAATTTCTACTAGGACATTACCAGGCAGATTATCATCACTAACTTGCTGAGCTTTGATCTTGAAGAAGCCTTTACTTTCCAGGATCATATAAAAAGCAAGTAGAGAAGCTTTTTTTTTCTTTTTTTCTTCCCTATTTTTCATGATAATTTCTGTGACTGTTAAGAGGTGTATGGAGTAAATTCTCTAGATGAACAATTTCAAGTCCTGAAATCTACTCTTGAGCCATTGTAGAAACTATGCAGATACCTCAGTGTCCACTGTCTGCAAATTAAGACTGTTACTTCTGAAAAGAACTACACGTTAAGAAATAATTTGTTTATAAAGCAGTTAAGGCTGTAATGTACTATACACAGAATATATTTTACTCATTGGCAGATGGCCTCAGGGAACCGTTAAAAGCGTAACACTGTCCTCTCAGTTTGGAAAAGTAAAGCAATTTCATTTTTTTTCAGAGTACTGATGCTGGGAAACAGCTGAATGACAAGCAAAGAAATATATTATTGTCTATATCTTCCTTATTGCTTTCATTTCAGCTTGTATTAACCAAGGTTGGTATTACTGGCATTTTAATATTCCCTAGATAAAAAAGCACACTGATGGTAAGAAAGAAACACTGTCTCAGAGGTATAATACTAACAACAGTACTTTCAAAAAAGCCTGTCTGTTTTTCCTGTGTCTGTTCTAGGGTGAAGTCTATTTCAGTTCTGTACTATTTCCCCCAGATAAGAGATTGCCAAACTACTTTTTTCTGTTTGTTTTAGGAAGTGCTAATGCCTCTTTCTATTGTCTGTATCAATGCCTGACAGTAAGGAAAGGCTTTTTCTTTGTCCTATGAAATATCTTATAGCTTTTGGTGAGACTAAAACAAGCCCTGGCTTGTGGGTTTTTTTATTAAACTAGTTTTTTTTTTAATTAAGAAGAAAATCTGTTTGTTTTCCAATCCTCTTCTATGTCAAAATAGTAACTCAGCAGAGATGTTTGAAGGCTGGGCTCATCCTGCCACAATAACAGTAGCTTCTTGCACAGTGCTGTAATGGCTAGGAGCTGCTAGCAGCTTTTGAGAAGAGAAACAGCTTTGGGATGCTTGGTCCCCTTTCTCCCACGAAGCATGAGTTCTTCCAGCTTCTTCTTAGGGAAGAGGTTGAACTGAAAATCCACTATATTCCTCCCTCTCAATAAATATCTATTTTAAAAGAAAGGAATTTAAACTGAAGAGACAAGACTTGAAAATTAGAACTATATACAGATGGCTTGTGCAACCTTAATTCTACCTCGTATGCCCACATTTATGCAACGCAGGATCTCTGCCTGATTCAATGAACAGGAAGACTGCAAAAAGGTGCAGAATTATGAAGAAGCAGAGAACTGTGTATCTGCCATTTTCTAACATTTGAGTTTATGTCTTTGTAACTTAAAGGACAC